GAGAGAGAGAGAGAGAGTGTGCAAGCAAGAGCTAGAGACTTACAGATAATGAACGAGAGTCAGGAGGTTCTGAAAGTGATTGAGTGACTATATTCAAGGGTACTGATACAAAGGATGTGTTAATAGACAACAATGTAGAATTACATGCTTTTCTCTTATTTGATAGCTTTCTATTGACCTCCATGTAACAGATGAGGATGTGATCATACATTTGATCTGAGTGGACTGTGTCTATAAACACCCAATCTGTGTGTATGTATTTAAACATATTGCTCTTTTAAAGGATTATTCAGCCAGCTCCCATCATATTAAAGCTACAATTCCTGAAAAGGTCCAGAGAAACCGGTTATAAATGAAGACAGAGATGTGGCAGATGTATGGGCGTATGACACTCTGCAGCAAGATGCTTCAAACAAATTACATCATTTAATATAATAAGTCTATAAGAGGAGTCATTGAGTTAGTTAGAGTGCTGGCTATGACTATACAAATACTGTGGGAGCTCAGAAAAGGTTGTTCAGTGAGAGCTTTGACTGCACAAGTCTCCTTGACAATGAACTAGAGGCAGGAATGAGACAGTTAAGTGGTGTTTTAATAATATTATATAAAGAAAATTAATACATTTAGGACACACTGAGAATGAAAGTGGAAACTCAACTCAAATGTATACCTATAATGTTTTTGTGTTTCACTTTCAATAACTTTAGGAAGCTTTTTATACACAGGAAATTATTTCTGTCAGCAGGGGCGGAAAAAAAAATCGCAGCACACAGAAATTGTGATGTGTTTTATGGTGAACAGCTTAGTCAGTGTTAGGATTAGCACCCTAACGAGGCGCAACTTTACCAGGTTTCTCCACTGGAAGGGCTTCCTTAGAAAGGCTTTTTTCTTTCTTTTTTTTTTTTTTTTTTTTCTTTTTTTTTTTTTTTTTTTTTTTTTTTTTTTTTTTTTTTTTTTTTTTTTTTTTTTTTTTTGTTTTTTTTTTTTTTTTTTTTTTTTTTTTTTTTGTTTTTTTTTTTTTTTTTTTTTTTTTCCGAACAC